AGTGCTATGTGCAAATCTTTGATAATGTACACATTTTCCTGTATTCCCTGTTCACCTTTGCAAATTGTTTCTCTGCTCATACCCAACACATCAAGTGGAGTACCACCTGGACCAAACAATGGTCTATCTGGTTTACATAACTCTGTCTCATTTTGGTTTATGCAGTAATACATCTGGGCTGGGATAACAGAGACGTCAGCTCCTGTGTCTATCTTAAATCTAACTTTGTGGTTTCTGATAGTAAGGTCTGCATACCAAGGATCTGAACCTGCGTCTACAGAACCAAGAAACACGGGTGTATCATCACTTTTCTCTGTTTCTATCACATGCACAGATTTAACAGATTTACACACTTTACTGAAGTGTCCTCTTTTACCACATGAGTGACATGTTGCATCTTTTGCTGGGCATTGTCCTTTACCATGCGCAGGGGTTTTCCCACACCTGTAGCATGATCTCCCATTTGGTGTTTTGTCCTTTGTTGTGCATTTACGTTCTCTTCGGGGTTTGAATGTTGAATGCTTTTGTTCCCTGTGCTTCGCTGCAGTTTTCAGCTAAAGCATAAAGTACGGTGACAAACGAGTCAACAGTCTCATTAGCTTGCTGTGTTCTTTGATTAAAGCGGGCTCTCTCATAGATAATGTTTTTCCTGGGAACAAAGTACGTATCCAAAGTGTCTCTTACTGCTTGGTACTGCTGCCTTTGTATGTCCGATAAAGCTTGCCCTCGGAGGATATCATCTGCTTCATCCCCCATGCAGTAGATGAGTGTGTTTACCTGGTTAGCCTCTGAGCTAAGGTGCAGGTTGCTTGCAAGTCGAAATCTTTCAAACCTCCTTATCCACTTTTCCCATTGCTGTGGCTTTGAGAAATCAAACAGCTCGGGAGGCTGGATGGTGAATGTGGCATTCGGGGGTAAGTTGGCGTTTGCATTATAGCCGCCGTTAGCTTGCTTGTGGGGCTGTTGCGCTAGCTCCCGCTTCTTCGTCCGACATCTTATCGTCTGGAGAAAAACTCTTTACCGCTCCCAAAGCCGCTTGCTGTCACTCCCCGATGACAAGGCTCTTACTGTAATCCCACTTTTGACACCATGTCGTGGTTTTAGGCAAGGATTCAAGCGACACCTTGTAGAGCACTCAAACATCAAACTCCGACCTTTATTATCTACTTCCTGTTTCAGAACCCCCTTTCACAATAAAACAGATTATACTCAAACAGATTACACCACACTATTCACATGGTTTCTCCATATATCTAATAGTAAGTATGGGGAGCCCTGCCCCCCAGGACATGAAGTAGGCATGGAGGAGATCCAGGGCCAAGAGATATAGAGGCCCCACAGAGCACGAGAGCCCAGGGAGGACCACGGGAGGAGCAGCCATGCCACCCTCCTAGAAAAAAGCTTAGGTGAGTCCCAGACTCCCCAAGATCCCAGATGCTGGGGGTCCGCCAGCAGCCACAGTGCAGAAGCCACAGTGGGCTACGGCAACATGCCCGCAGGCTCTGCTGGTGCACACCCAAGTACCCAGCCCCAAACACCGGACATCAGCATCGGGCAACTGGCAGGGAGTGGATTGGGGGGAGATGGGCCCCCACATCTATCTCCCCCGAACCTGAGATGCTCCCAGAGAGGTGAAGTCTAAGATTCAACCTGACACATAAACATAGACAAACAGGCACACACAGACACAAACTTGCATTCCCACCCTCATTCACACATATACAAATACTCAGAACTTGCCCAATATGGAGACAAACAAAAATGAACACTGTACACAGACTCACACTCCCCAAACATACTCTATACCCCCCAGGTCCAAGTACCCCCTTGCTGGGGCCAGCTCTGCCACTGACCCCAGTATGCACCCCCATTCCCTGGAATCCACAAAGGGCAGGGGGGCTGGGTCCGGATAGCCCGGGCCCACAGTAGCAGCACCACCAAGCCCCACAGAGCCCGGGGCAGTCCACCCAACCCCACTGCAGAGGAAAACTACACCCACCCAAACATTCAATCACCAGAGGACCAGAGCCCCCAGAGGCCTGGGCCCCATGCATGCACACACCCACAACCCCCGCGACACACCAAGTTCATGAGGACAATCTTCTTGACAATGCACAGGGCAGTGAGAACCATGTGGGCTGTATTCATCTCTGTAGTGACATCATCCAAGTTGCCCAACAAACAAACTGCACAGCAAAATCTCCAGTGTTAAATTAACACTGGAGAGTGTCTATATGGGTCCACACCTCTGAGTGTTAAATACAACACTGTTGAGTGTTAAATTAACACTTTTGACAGTGTTATATGTTTAAAAGTAACCTAGTAACCAGTTTTGAAGATTAACAATGGCTAACACTGAGCAGTGCTGATTTTATAATACTGGAATATTTCTAACATTTTGAGTTATTTTCCAGTGTTATAAAATCAGCAAAATAATACCAGAAAATAACAGAAAATAACTTTCTCATAAAAATACGGTTATGTTCAGTAATGACAATACAGTTTGTTGCCCTAATTTTACATGGGATTTTGCCTTTTTCAAGTGCTTTTA